CCCCCCCCCCCCCCCCCCAAAATAATCACAACCCCTTCGCCTGAGCCATCATCTATCGATTATTCTCCATTCGTTCAGCATCACTCACTTCAGTCAACTAGCCGTAATGATTATGACCTCTTCCAAGATAATAAGGCAATGGTACTCCTATTACCATATGCCCACCATTCCCGATCTTAAACTCCAGTGGCTGTCAAAAGATAATCCCAACATGAACAGTCGATCCAAAACCTTTTTAACTCTCTAGGTGGCGCTGATCGTCGAAGCGACACTACCTCCATCACTACCAGACCGTCTATCTGATTCCGAGGTCCCGTCCTCGTCGCCGCTGGTCAAACCACTCCCTCCTCCATTTGTTGCGCGCGATGACGGGATCTGGAGTCGACTTCCGATACTGTCCTGTCCCGATTCTTGCTTAAGTGACACCTCCACCATTCTCATGGCTTCTTGCAATGTTTCACCAGTTTCATCCATAGCCGCCAAGAATCGTGCGAGTTCTTTACATAATTCCCAATCGCCTTCCCTCATGGCGCGAGATAGAAGTCGCACCGACTGTTCGGTTGAGGATCCCAGTTCGTCCAATGTATGTAATATAATCAAGTACCCACCTGCTGTCTTCAATGAACCTCTTTGTAAAGACTCTTCAAAGAGTTCTTGTGCCTGCGGAAGGTATGCAAACAATGTCTTCCACTGACGAACTTCGGTCTTGCGTGTGCACTGCAGCACAATATCAAGATACTCCTTGAATGAGGATAAAAGGGATAGAACGCGAGGTAGCACGGCATCAACAGGCTTCGGGGATGTGTCAACTTCCTCATCTAACACACGATGTAACAATATCTCAAGCCCATGCGCAAAATACTCGAGCTCTTTGTACTGGTGGGCCAGGTTCGAGGCTTCAACTGATCTGCTTTGCCTTAGATAGAACCGCAGTAAGTCTGGAAGTATGAGATGCGTCTGGTCATTGTCAGCTAGTATATTACAATAGGACGCTTGAAAACATACCCTGATAGCGAAATGAAAATACGAGAAGTTCACATCGCGACGCTGGACAAGATCCGATTCAACTCCCAATACGATACCCTTTTCCAAAAGGACTGATAGTGGGTAGAAGTCGACGGGAATAGAGACCGGAGATGGTGGTTCCTTGCCATTGTCTCCAGCCGCATCTAGAACTTGGCTGATGTCTGGCCAGGCCTTAAGCTCCATTCCGTCAAATACCCAGAGAGAGTCTTTCAGTGCTGGCGGTCCGTTCCGTAAGGGGTTGTCTTCGAGCTGCCGGTTCACGTTTCGCAATGGCTGATCCCGGACACTGGCGTGGTACTCCACGTTTTGCGCGATGACACGCATGTCATATTTCAGCTGGCCCTCGTCGTTTAAGGACGGCCGGAGTAGTACAAGCTTTCCGTCGACAAGAAAGATCACCGAGGCAACGGCGACATCCTGAGAAGGGTCGCCGTCTGTTAACTGCGTGTCGGGCAGTATCCAGCTCAGTCCCCTCACTCGAGCTGGAGATCTGACAATGCCGTGAAACGCAATCTGGCCTACTTGTATGAGTCGTATAGAGCCGCCATGTGGGGTAAAGATAAAATGATATAGTAAGTTTTCGTAGGTGTAGACAAGAAGTGAGTCCTCGCCCGAGGTGGTCACAAGGACCACAGGGGCTGGGATTGTCTGAGTATGTAGTATCTGGGCCGAATCAAGTGCTGTCTCGCGCGAGAACAGTCGTAGCTCGAATCTTCGGTTGGCTTCTACTGCAGCAACAAGAATGTGTTGATGCCAGCACATGCCGCCTCTGACCTGGAACTCATTCTCCATAGCCTCGTTAGCGAATGTCTTCCAGCGGCCGCTATTGACACTGTAATGGGCAAGTCCCCGTCGGCCAGCCACAGCTACGTAGCGACCATCGGGAGAGATGACAGTCTGCCGTATCGGCCATTGGTTCAAGAGGTATGTGGGAGGGACCTTTGCCGTATGCCATAGGAACGGCTCTGCCGAAATGCTGGTAAGATCTGGAACATCGTAACCTCTGTAGATCATCACACTGGAAGGAGTCTGCAGCACGGTCCGGAAGACATTTGCCTCATTGTAACACCCAGTAACGGCATTCTTGGCCATTTCCAGGGACCATATAGCTTCATGCTTGCGTCCTGTCATCAGGATCTCGGAGCCACCCCCTACCCAGGTAGCCCCGGAAATTCCAGATAACCATTCTTCTCCATTGGCGCGCGAGGTTGTCTCTTCAGATCCAAAACTATGACTTCCAATCTTGCCAAACATACTCCAGGTAGACCAGCCTTTCTGAAAGCCCGCAAAAAGGCAGTAACCATCGGGTGAGTAACTCAGACTAGTGAATGCTCCCGAAGATGCCGTAGACACAGGGACTTGATGAGTATGTGAATGAGGGATGTTGCCTGCATAGTCACGGACGGAGTATACCTGCACTGTCCCATCGCAGCAACCAACGGCGATGAGAGAAAACCTTGCATTTATAACCGCCGCAGTGGCGCGATCGTGTTCGCCTTGGGGAACATGGAAACAGTGGCCTTTGAATAGTCGTTTAGCATCCCCGTCATCGACCTGGCTGCTCTCTGCTCGATGATTGTAGCGCTGAACCGCATACGCTCGTCCGCTGCTCGTAATCCATGTCAAAAGGTTCATTGGACGATCATGTGTCATCTCAACGATGGTTGCCTTCTTCTCGACCCATCCCATTCGACTAATTATCTCGGTTCTCGTCTGTGAGCCCGTACTGTCCGGCGTCCAGCGGATACATTGCACAGCCGCAGGCTTCCTTGTTGCTACTATCAGCTCGTCGTCAAGAGCGAGCGCACTCTCAATTCCGGCATCGACCTTAATCACCATTCTAAAGCGAACACTAAGGTCGCGAACCCCTGGACCTTCGCCAGCGCCCCATAATATTTGCTCTGGTGGCAGGCCAGTGAGGCTTCCGATAAGACTCTGTCTCCTTCGCTGAACATTGCTGTAATTCGCGAAATGAGGTTTGTATACGCGCGAGTCGGGATCAGTAGCCAATGAGTAAGTGATGAGGTAGCCCTGGTCTGTGTGTATAACGAGAATGGCGGCGTCAGGTCTTAGTAACAGGTCGACATTTCTGCCGTACGTTTCCAGGGAATAATCTGATCGAATAACCACAGCTAGGATAACAGCAGGCTATGCCGGTCAGTATGGAGGGCTAATGTGCCAAAATGTCTTGCAGGTCTTACTTTGGTCTGCCAGACTGTAATGGAAGTTGTTGTGATAACAGCGAACAGATTACCGGAACGTGAAACTCGCAACGCCAGTATGGGATCTTTAACAGGGATTCCTCCTGTTTCGGTACTTTCAGAAGCTTGCGGAGGCCTACTTGATGTATAGTCATCGTGCTCGACAGGTCGGATTCCTGGTGTTATTGGGGTCGGTGGTGGTTGAGAGTCGAGGTCGTCAATGGTATGACCTTGAGGTTGAGAAGTTGAAGGACCAGGCGATGGCGTTAGGCTGGAATCGGAGGGGCTCGTAAGGCCATCATGAGAGACGACAAGCTTAAAGGCTGGAGCTCGACTGCTGCTGGTAGCATGGATGCGTGGTGTTCCAATGGGCCAATACATGGCGGCAGCTTAGCTCCTCAGCTAAGGGTCCAGCAGCTGTAGATGCGCTGTGCTTTTGGGGGACCAGCGCTTCGACTGGAAGGATTTCGCTGCAGCAGAGACTCAAACATGACCCTGCGCGCTATCTGGCTCTAGGAATGGCTCCTCGTGCCATTGACTTATGATATTGTTCAGGTATGATGGTATTGAAGATGATAGTGGGTTGTCGCTATCGTCGCGGATGAGCTCCTGGCGATGTTGTCATGAAGGAGTCTGATTGGTGGTTCCTGGCTTATGTAAGTTTGTGTCTTGCTCTTTCTGTCCTTCCGTTCCTGTCAAAGCACCTGAACGATACGAAACCTTGCTACACCTTTATATTCACCACCACAACATTCCTCTCACTTGGCATGATTAAAATAATGTCAGGCCCTATTCATTTCCGGACGTCTGGTACTCAAAAAGCAACAAATTCAGCAACGTTTATTTCCCTTCCCAACATTGTCTTACTAGAAGCCCTATCATCTACTAAGGATATATATACATCTATACATATTGAGTCAACGACACAAATAAATAAAATACACGCATCGCATCTGACTCTGTCGTCCCGCAAACCCCCGTCTCGTCTTGAACAAAGTTTACGGCCATGGTCCATGGGTTCATTCAGCGCCTGGGCTAGCGATCCTTTGCCAAGCAGTCCTTGGTTCATTCTAAGCACAAATCCTTGAGCCAGCCACGGTCAGATGGGTTTTAAGTCAAATTTAGAAAAAGATTGACGCTCGCTTTTGAAGAGGTACAACATCGATCCAGCAAACACAACGCTCAAAGGCCAATGGGTCTTCATTTGCTTGGGCCCTCGGGATCCTTGTTCCAGGCTAGGTCCTGTCCTGGGAGAGGTAATATCCATGGTCCGTTCAGTATTATAATTCCGGGCTTCTTCGCAATGATAAAATAGGCAGAGATCTGCTGACATGAACTTCTCCTGCTTCAAGATATTACGCTGTATCCTTTGGCAGCACTGTCTGCGTTGAGAAGGAGTCTCCTTTGGTTTCGAGTGTGACAGAGCCTATGGCAGGGCTTGTGGCAGTGGTCCATTCAATGATATCCATGTTCCTGGTTGGCTCGCCTTGCATATCAGATGACAGTGTAATGTCCGAGTCTTTACCAGATGAACAGTCCGAATCATGGGATTTGGGTCCAGACATAAACTTGAAATCCAATGAGCCTATGTTGGAGAGTAGACCTGTATGGCTTGCGGTGGAAGCCAAGTCCCAGGACAGTTTTGTGCTTAGATTGCGCAGAGATTTGCATCGTTCAATACCCATGGGCGAGATGTGCTCTCCCTCCTCAATTATCCCCGCAGTTTCTTGTCTGTTTCTGGGCATCGCCGTCAATCTCATGGCTATCACGGATGTGATTATGGCCATCTTCAGAATATAATCTCGAAGCCCGGCCATGATCTCGTGCCTCGACTTTGGGGACTGCATGAAGCAGTGTGACTGAGAAATGATGCAACTAAGTGCAACGAGACCAGCGACAGTGCCGAGACGGGCTCTGTGACTCAGTTGTCAGCTTCTCTTCCGATTCCCAGTCCAAGGCGCCTACTGTTGAAAGGCCGGTGCGTGCAAGAGAAAAGAAACCATGGCAGACACGGCTAGCAACAAGAAGATTCTAGACATCATCAGCATAAAAGCTCTGGCAGACACATACAGACTTACGCAGCATCCAAGTGAGGGTGCGGAGGTAACCCCAAGGCAACGCCAGTACCAAGGAGCGTCCCCGCGGGTAAGATTATTGCGACATGGCGTACAATTCGCCATATGAAACTCCCTGCTATGTTAGGCATGCTGTCCATGGCAATGAGTGGATTGGGCTGAAAGGAGAGGGGGGGAGCAGCCCAAAACTGCTTATGAAATTGGAGCGATAACGTTTACTCTAGACAGACAATGAAATCAGTCCAAGGAACAATGCCGCTGATTTGAGATTCTGGCCGTATCAAAGTTCTTATATTTATGGACGCCCAACGCAAAGCCCGAAGCTAGCCAGTGCTGGAACCTCGCCATTGGTAACGAAGCAATGTATGCCAGTGATTAATGCAGCAGTCAGCCAAATCATGTTCGCCTGTTCGCCTCAAGAAAGCTGCATCCTGGAATGATAGGCTCGGCATCAAGTCTTAGATGTGAGGCATTCATTTGGAATTGTCCCAAATTGGCCGCTTCTGTGCTTTACTCGCACATAACGTAATCTGAGCCTATTGAGTTGGCCCACGTACGAGGCAAAACAGTCGGTTTGTGGTTGAGTGTTGGGCGGGCGAACCATATGAGGCTCAAACGATTGGCTCACATTATCTTCACATCTTCTGAGCCGAGTATGCCTTACAGCCATTTCAACCCAACATCAGCACAATCATTAGGCATTGGGACATCAAACCAAGACAAGTCTTGGAAATCATGGCTGTGTCAAGAGTGCTGTTGGTCAATCCCATGCTGTCCCATAACGGCGCATGGATAGTCTCTCCGCGTTACCGGATGGCAGATCGATATATCGGTTATACCCAGGTTGATTGAGGCCCGCTTATTGTGTTGCTGTCCAGGTAATGATACCCAGCATCCTCTCTAGTCCGTGATGGTCTACTTATAAGACTACATGGACCCAATGATTTAACGTCGAGAGAAGAGAGCAAAGTTGTTTGGCTTGAGACTAATTAAACACCTTCGCAACACACTTCCCTTCGTGCGGGACTTCTTCGCATCTCATGACTATTTATTCGAATGGAAAGTCTCAACCGTCTGAAAAAGGCTCTGTCCGCCATGTGCTGCTCATCCCGTTCGTTGCCGATTTGGTTGAGCTTCTACCAGCAGGTGGAAGCGCTTGGGTCATGTCAGAGTTCATGCACCAAATGCGCTCAACTCCTCATTTACCAGACACGGTGAGTTTGACTGAGTACACGATTGCTTCGGTAATCTCATGGGGTTTTGAATCTGCTGCACATATTGCTTTCGGGAGATAGAAACTGACGTCTTGGTTGGTGTAAGACCTGGCCGCAGACAGCGCACTCCGAATCGCTGATCAGGCTTTCTCAGTGGCAAGTGCTCACAGCCTGTATCATCTACGGTTGTTCGATTGCTTCATTTCTTCATCGGCGACGCCTTCGGGATCATAACATGTCCCCCATCTTTGCAGCCTTCGTGTCTTTCGGCGTGCTGGTAGGAAAATGCACTGGTGTAGGTTTCGACTATATCATGCTGGTTCATGTATCATGGGCGACATGTTTGGCTATGGTTGCAAGCGCTGTATGCCTGCATATTCAGTCACGACTGGATGAATAAGTTGAGTCTGAGAATGTGATGGATAAGGGTATGTTAACTGCCTAGAGAGGAGTTTTAAACATTCGGGTTAATCCTACAATACCTTCCTTTTCTTTGCATTATGGTTGGTGTAGAGCCCACCGGCGATTATGTTGGCCAAGCAAAGATAAGAGCCGGCGACAATGGTGAACTAGATATATGATACACCTACCTATTTTTGAGCCTTAGTTGAATGTTTTGGAGGTTTCTGCAATCTTGTTGGATGATAGACTACTCATACACCCTTCCTAGGTATGTAAGATCTCTTTATCATTTTCTATGCAATTACAGAGCTGCAGCATCGTTCGTGGGTGGATCTGTTTGGCCATAGAGGATACATTCTCTTATCATTCTGGGGTAGTCTATCTCGTCATGGTTGAAGGCGTGAGATAGGCCCGCTAGGAACGACACTAGGCAACTGGGCGTAGGTGACAATTCAAAGGGCGTGGTCAAGTGCCGATATCGTAGTGATTATTTGGCATAACGGCTCAACCAACAAGTGGCCACCGCTCCTTGACCATGGTCACGCGCAACATAGCACAGCGAAACACGCAGACCAAGCGTACGTAATAGATAACTAATTGAATAAAGAGTTCTGACCTCGTGAGGCGTCAATGACACAACCCCGCTCCCAGGCCCGGAGCACCGGTGTAGGGTATCTGGGATACAGCCGGCTAAGATCGGGCGGAGACTGAGAAGCCCGGCACCGGCGACGTTTGGTGCATCTCCCGGCTCCGAAGGGGATTAATAAGACACCCTTTTGTACTTTGACAACCTCCTGTTTCTGTTCTCAATGAATTTCGAGTAACGAGTTTCTTCCTTCAACACTTGCTAAATCTTAAACCCCCCTGCTACTTGAACTTTCACGAACCCCTCAGCCAGCTCCACTTACACGGTGCACAACATCTCATACCTTCACATACCTTCACGATGCTCCCAGCTGTGAGAGGATCACGGCTTGGGCCATTGGTTCGACATGGTCGCTCACTTCATACCACATCGCGGTGTCTGTCAAGCGCTGAGGCTGCCCCGGCTGCCCGTCCAGCGCATTATGATACCTCACAGCAGCTCTCCGCTATCGATGCCGTGAAGGAGAGACGACTGAAAGCGGGAAAGCTTGTGGCTGGAGTTGCTGCTGCTTCAGATAGCGACATGTTCAAAGGACCGGTGAGTTGGGAAGCTCGAGTGACAATTGTTCTGAAGCTCACTGCAATGATAGACTACCGGACTACCCAAATCTAAGCGATGGGATAGTAAGTGTTAAGAAAACACCTCGGATTTCATAATCATAGCTTACATATGTCTACAGACCATTTGAGTCAGGAGAGTAGAGTGCGAGAACCATGCACTCTCAAGCAAGCAGCTCGCTACATGAAGAAACCTGGCCTTATCTCACTGGGCGGTGGCCTGCCGTCCAGTGAAGTTTTCCCCATCGCTGAACTCGGTTTCAAAGTCCCCGTCGCACCAAAGTTCTCCGAGAAAGAGACTGATGAATCGGGTCAAACTGTAACAATTGGAAAATATGACGTGAGAGATCGCGGAGGCACTTATGACTTGTCCATCGCTTGCAACTACGGCCAAGCTACGGGATCCCCGCAGATGATGAGATACTTGACCGAACACACTGAGATTGTGTATAACCCTCCCTATGCAGACTGGAAAGTTTGCCAGACAATCGGCAGCACCGGAGCATTAGAAGAGGCGTTGCGAATGTTCTGTGACAAGGATCGCGGCGACTCAATACTCACTGAAGATTTCAGCTTCTCGACTGCCCTGGAAACAGTTGGTCCTCTTGGTGTGAAGGCATTTGGCGTGGCGATTGACGAAGAGGGCCTCGTCCCCGAGGCTATGGATGAGCTCTTGTCAAACTGGGATGCTAAAGAACGAGGTTCGAGGAAGCCTCATGTGCTGTATACTGTTCCCTCAGGACAGAATCCCACGGGCGCAACACAGGGAACCGAGAGACGAAAGGCCATCTATGCCGTGGCGCAAAAGCATGATCTATACATCATCGAAGATGAGCCATACTACTTCCTCCAGATGCAACCCTACACAGGTCGCGACCAACCTGAAGTACCACCACCAGAGACGGTTGAGGAGTTTGTCTCGTCTCTCATTCCCTCACTTCTAAGCATCGATGTTGACGGACGAGTTATGCGTATGGACTCCTTCTCAAAAGTCCTCGTGCCAGGCTCTCGTCTTGGTTGGATAACAGCGTCGGAACAAATTGTTGAGCGGTATATTCGACACGCTGAAGTCGCAAGCCAGGGGCCCAGTGGTTTCTCTCAGGTCATTCTATATAAGTTGCTTGATGAGACATGGGGACACGAGGGTTACTTACGATGGCTGATGAATTTGCGACTGGAATATACAAAGAAGCGCAATGCTCTTCTGGCCGCTTGCGAAGATCATCTGCCTAGTGATCTTGCCAGTTGGACTCCTCCTGTCGCTGGCATGTTTGTAAGTGCTCCGCATCGATCCATATGGAAATCGTCAACTAACTCTCAAAGATGTGGATTAATATTGATCATACAAAGCATCCTGAAGCAGGAAAGCGAAGCATTGTCGATATCGAAGAAGAGATTTTCAACTCTTGTATCGAGAATGGTGTTCTTATCGCCCGGGGCTCGTGGTTCTTGACTGAGAAGGACAAGGCACCACCGGGACTCTTCTTCAGAGCGACATATGCATCTGCAACGCCTGAGAATATGAACAAGGCCATTGAAAGATTCGGAAAGGCTGTAAGAGATAGCTTTGGTAGGAAGTAGACTTTGTCTTGGCATTCAGTTGCTGGAAACAGGGACAAGTTTGAAGATTCAGACAGTTGAAGAAGACATCAGCCAATTGGTATGGGAAAAGAATTATAAGTAGGAACATCTCGATATGGTGCATATCAAATTTGTGCATTGCCCACACAATCATCATTATTCACGTAACACCAAAAGACTAATTCTGGGCTTCCCAGAATGCAACCTTGACTCCCTGGCCTGGTGACAAGACAATGTCTGCTTTGAGGAGGGGCTCACCTCCATCAATGTCCTTCATCTGACTCTCCACACGATCAAATTTCTGGAACAGGCGGACCAGAACATAGCTCATCTCAGTCAGAGCAAACTGCTGACCGATGCAAATTCTAGGACCAGCGTTGAAAGGGATATAATCATGGGGTTTAGGATGCCAGTGGGCCCATCTATCTGGGCTGAAGATCTGAGGATCAGCAAAGGTATCGCTGGTAGGAGGATACAGATCTGAACGTCTCTGCATGACGAGGGTGGAATATGCAACTGGCGAGTCCTTCAGAACGGGGAGTGGCTCAGAACCATCTGGACCGCCCCCTCGAGGAAGGGTCGTATCCTTGAGAGCAAGACGAACGTTGAAAGGAACAGCCGGGTATAAACGAAGAGTTTCGTTGAGAACAGCCTTGAGATAACTCATACTCTTGAGATCCTCGTATGTTGGCGTGCGCTCAGTTCCAAGTGTGGAAATGATCTCAGCACGCAACTTTTTCACAGCATTAGGATACCTGCCAAGTTCATAGAGAGTCCATGATAGCGTCGCAGCAGTGGTATCTCGCCCCGCAAGCAGAACAGCGATTATCTGATCACGGAGCACTGTTCGGTCTCGTGTAAACCCAGCAAGTGCATGCAGAAACGTATAGCTGTGATCGTCCTTTGTCTTGGAAGCCAGTTCCTCGGGGCTTAGACGGAGTGCACGTTCAATGTAGAAGTTGATGAAGTGGTTGACCGTGTTGAGAGCGCGCCAGAAACGATACTTGGGGATGATGTGGCGAAGTTTGCCGACGCGAGCGATGATGTTTTGAATGTGTTGGACTTCGTTGAAGGCTTCTGCGAATTCTTGCTTTGGTGTCCTGAGTTGTATATGTTAGTGAATGATCCATATCATATGTTGCGTTGGCTACTCACGTGAGAGACTTGACATCCCACCCGAGAAGAAACTCAGTAGCCACGTCGAGAGTATAGCGGAAGAATAAATCGCTGATATCCAAGACCTTTCCATCTGTATTGTTCATATCGACAAGTTGACCCTCGCCTCGAAGTGGTCCTCGGTTTGCAATGGCCTTGAAAAGAGTCTGCATATGTGCCTCAAAGCAGTGCAAGTCACTCACACGGTCCCTTGTAAATTGAGGCCTGATGAGTTGGCGACTAGCATGCCATGAAGGGCCATCAGTAGTGAAGATACTATCACCGAGAAAGTCCTTCCATTCTGCGTGGAATGGCTGTCCTTTGCCGTAGTCGACGAATTGGGTTGCCAATATTGCTTTGAGGTTCGCTGGATCGGCGGTGAAAATTGTTCGGACTCCAAGGAGACGAGCCTCAGCCGTCCATGAGTTCAAGGGTCCGAAGATACCATCTCTCCAGGATGCCAGGTTATTGTGTTTGACGGTAGATCTGACGAATCTCACGACGAGATCAAGGCCTGGAAGGGATAAATGTGAATGGACTCCAACATGCTAGCGTGGGATTTGACTTACTCCAAGGAGCATATGTTTTCAATTGAGGTCCATAGCGACCGAGGCGTCTAATTCTTCGGTGTTCGTCAACGCGGCAGATGATAGAATAGACTCCATAGGCGACGAAGAGGACGATGAATGCGGTCTTGACGGAGATTTGCTCCAGAAGAGCTTCCACGACACCCATGCTGAAGAGATCTACCAATGTCTAAGTAGTAGAAAGTCAAACTCAACGAGCTAAAGTTTGTCTGATAGAAATAGTATCCTGGGTTTCAAGCAATTATAGAGTGTGGGTATCGCTTCTAGTCATGCGTGGTTGGATCTATCCGAGCATCAAGAGCACGGACAAGGACTTGACAGATGCAGAGCCCACTGGCCTCAAACGTCGTTAGCTATGGAACCAGAAGCTTATAAATATAATTCCCTGCCCATGCTCTGCATCTTGGATAGGCTAGTCTCGTAGTAGAGCAACTGTTGGAGGAACGGAAATGTCAGGATAACCGAGTCTCCGTGCCCGAGGATTTATTATAGGCAAAATGCAAGACAAGACGTCACTTTTACAATCTCTTCCCTGAAGCGGTATGGTATTCACGAAACACCTGGCCTCCTACCGAGGCGATGTTAGTGATCAAGAGGGGATTTTCATATGCATGACCTTTGTATGGTGGGGAGGAGGTTTTTTCGCTTTGCATGACATGGCGGGGTAATTGATGTTTCAAATCAGCGATAGAACACCGGATTCCTCTAGTTATTACTTTTCAATGCGTTGGTGTTGTTGTTCCTCGACTCATTAGCCTTGTCTTGGCTGTGAATGGTCTCGCAAGCCTAACCTCTGAGAGTCAAGGTTGGCCAGAACCATAATGACTTACAGCAACTTCCCCAGATTTCACAAACTCTACTCTCATCTCATCTCAAATTTACTTTCGTTCTTAAAGCTAAATAAAACGCGAGGTCGGAGTGGAAAACCATTCTCGGTTCTAACACCGGCGGGGATGAACTTAACGATCAGGATACCCGATTCGGCAACTTGATCTACAGAGCACAAGCCCATATCCACATCCGCATTCAACCTCACGAAGCACCAGCCCAGATTTTTAGTTCAGCACAAAGAGAACCGGTCCGACGAATGAACGCTCACGAGTGCGATTGCTAACCCATCATGCATGTCAGGTCATTGGTTGTCTTTCCTCAGCCAATCATCTATTCCCCTAAGTTTCCCCGGATTTCTTCACATGCCGAGGTTTACGGGTCTAGTGACGATCAAGACTTAGCGTAGATGTCTCAAGGTGTCAGTATGCAACCCATACGGTGCCCGCGGTGAACCGATAAATGAAGAGCGGATTATGCGGAGTAACAGTCGCGTCCGCTTCGACTTCATCTTCCAACTTCATGCCCCACAGAGCCTTCTTTCGGAGCCGGCATGCTCCGCTCACCGTGCCCGAGACTTCGGCCCCGCATTCCTTCCGGCTCCGTTTCAGGATTCAGCGTAAGCGAACTACTGAGCAAGAGGGCAAGATTCTGTTGATTGCTGTTTCATCAAACTATGTACAAGGAAATTCATGAATAGCATCGCCCGCTTCCTTATCCATCGAACTGTGCGCACTCGGTAGCATTGCCCTGTGTGCAGAAAGGCATCTGGATTGGCGAGGCACTTACACCACGAGCCACCATGCGCTCGCGCAGCTCAGCCAGTCGAGGTGCAGCGTCGTACTGCGATCTGTTCTGGCCTGAGGCGTCAGTTCGGCCTGACCAGAGAACCTCGCCCATAACAGCGGCGCGGGGCCAGACGATAGTGTCAAGGTTGACGCTGTCGATGGTTTCTGTCCATACGGCCGCCTCACCGCCAAGGACAAGCTTGGCAGCCTCCTCAGACAGACCGGCACGAGGGTCGTGTGAGTAGATGAGGCGCCAGCTCTTGGTGGGACCGCACCAGTCGTTGAAGGGGTAGTAGGTCTTGAAAGCTTCGCCGTTGTCAAAGTTGAGCCATTGTCCACGACCACAATCGAGGTACTTCGGTCATCAGTCAGCAAATGTCACGTTTTCCAGAACACTGAATCGTTACTCACCCAGAAGTTATAATCGCTGTCAATGACCTTGTGACCAGCCTCAGCCATGGCCTTGACAGCGCCGTTGCCGAGCCACGACTGAATCACGACATCCTTGCCGAGTGTCATGTTCCACTCAGTAATCATCTCCTCCCAAACGAACGGAGTCAACCCAGCGTCACGAATCTTGCCGTGAGTGTAGTCGACAAACTTCTGCAGGAGAGGTGCCAGGACTTCAGTCTTGTTGGAGCGCACACCCGGGTCGAGCATGGAGTCGTTGTGGTTGAGCTCATCTCCGCCAGCGTGGAAGTATGCGCTGTATGGGGAGATGCGAGGGAAGAGGTCCTCGAACAAGGTGTCGAGGAAGTCATATACGTCGGTGCTGTTCATCCGGAACGCGCCACAGGGTGGTTCCTTACACCACCACTGATATGGCTTCTCGTTATATGCGACAATGAGATCCTTGTACGCAAGCTCAACCACACCGATGTGGCCAGGCATGTCAATCTCCATGATTACCTCGACTCCACGGTGGACACCATACTCGTAAATTCCGGCCAGGTCCTCGGGAGAGTAGGTGAGGCCTTTGCGGTATGCTCCCTTCTCTGCCAGCTTGGGCAGAGCAGGAATTTCAAGAGGCCAAGACTGCGAGTCAGTTATGTGAAGGTGAAGACGATTCAGCTTGCTCCAGGACATGGCATCGATGGTGCGCTTAATGTGTTCAACCTCGAAGAAACTACGGGCAACGTCAAGCAGAATACCGCGATGGGGATACTCAGGCGCATCCTGGATGGTGACAGGCGCGTGTGGCGTGTACCATGAAGTACCAGAGCTGTGTTTGAAGAAGAGCTGCAGGAATGTCTCGAGTCCGTGCAGGATACCCGTGGATGACTTGGCCTTGATAGAGGCCTCACCCTTTTCAGAAAGTGTGAGTGAATACGACTCATCAACCTCGCCAGCGAGAGGCTTGAAAGTGCTCTTGTCATCCTCCTCGGTTTGGACAATCTTAAGTGACTTCACCCACTGCTTCTTCTGCAGATCCGGCTCAAAATCCGAGTTGCGCTCACGAAGCTTCCATGGCACAAAGTTGTCATTGAATATGGCCTGAAGAGCACGTGAGACACCGGCCTGAACGATCTGCTTGCTGTTGAACTTGGAACCGGCATCAGGCTGGAACTTATAAGTGTAGGGCATCTGTTTTTCAAGCAATGTCTCAGTATCAAGTTGCGCGGAGTGGTTACAGGAATCAAAAACAGAACCAGGGGGTTTCCAGCATACAAAGTCTCCATTATAGGTGATATCGAGGCTTTGATCGATGAAGAGCACCTTGTCTCCCGTTGAGATCTTCTTGGGCACTGGCCATATGGCGTCGACGGGAGTGAGGGCGAAGGCGGCGATGGCCAGGAGAGCCTTGGCCTTGGACCACATACCGCCGATGTTTTACGATGAGAATGAGAAATGAGAGGGACAGAGTAAAAATGTGAATTGGGTGAGATGATAAGTGCTTATGTACTGTATAAAGGGATGGGTGATTTTGGGTGGATATGAATAGGACGGAGGATTTTAAGCGCCAGGCCCCGTTTAATAAGACTGGCGATGATCCTCCAGCTCCGCCTCGTCTCGTAAATAGGTAGTGAGTGGTGATCCCTAGCCTGGCTGGAGCTGGAGCTGGAATGGCTGGGCCGGGTTGAATTATTTATCTCCCGACAGAGGCTGATTTGATGGGATTGCGTCGAGCTTGTTTTCGACATACAGCTGCAGGCACTGCACTGCCAATCCAATAGCTCGATGTTGGCATCCGTCCAGGACCTACAGTACCTGGAGCTGCAGGAGAGTGAGGTGAGGAAGGGTATGACAGACAACCTTGAAGTGCGCGCAACGTTACGTTACACTACCACCCGAGGTTTTCAGCGGTTGCTGTTTGTAGATGGTTTGGTAGCCCACGAGGGGGTAGGGATGTAGATCTTCTTCTCGCCAGGGAAGAACTTCTGGCTGTGGCCTTTTGTGCTGCACTACAGAGAAAAGAGAAGCCGGTAATTGATGATGTATCCAATGGTCAGAAACATGAGTGGATGGATTGGCTTCAAGGATTCAATACATCAAGGCAAGGTTGGGTAAGTGGGATCTTCAACACGCGTTGCAACCCCTGCCGAGTTCCGGTCAGTACAGTGGCTGCCGTGGTTATCTAGAGCCATAGGACACGGCACTTGAGGGGCTGAAGCCAGGGCTGAAGCTAGGGCTTGCAGTGGTGAGATAATGGCCGAATATGATTGACTCGATGGTCAGCCAGTTGCTATATTTGCGACAGCAGCAGGGCTGAGAGACTACCGCCCGACAATGAAAAGGAGTAGGATGAGGACAGTGAGATGAGAACCGGTTAGAAAGTAGCGGCAGTGGCACAGCCCCTCAGCACCAGGGGAATTATGGTAGCTTAATTCGTAGAGATGGGACGAAGCTGGTTCTTGCTGCAGCTCAAGCTTGATGTTACATCAGCTGCTCACACTGCATCTGCAGAGAGATGATTGTGGTCTAGAATCTCAGGCTTTGACGACCCATAGCATGATTGATGCTCTACATCTTGGGTGGATGGGGCTCTCGATGCAGTAAGCTTGGGAGCTCAGTCGTGTGCCGTCGTGGATTCTCGTTCACGTAGCAAGGTGCTAAGTTAGTATTAGAAAATTGCTAAAACCAATACTTGATAGCACCGGACGATATCTTGACTACGACTGTATACCGACTATCCAGGCGGGCTTCAAATCCTTTCCTTGAGTGGTAGGCACACATGGGTGGCAACATATTGTCTCAGCCAACCCCAACCCCTCCGATTTACCTAAGGCTGGGTACGTAGACTGGGAGAGTCGGGGAAAGCTCCAAAAGCTGCCACCTGACATCAATCAAGACATCCAAAAACTGTAACAAAGCAATTGATGGGCTTCGAAAGGGGAGAAATGTAACCTTGGGTGGTAATGAACGTTAACATTGACCAAAGGATGGTGCTGGCTAGCAGCGTAGATGCCCTCAAAAGTCCAACTTGACAGACCCTCAAGCCTCGCTAAGTATCCGAGGTAATGGATACCGGTGCATGTTCTCAGCCTGTAAGGAAACAAGCTTGAGTAGTACAAAGAAACAAACGTCATTCCTGCTCTCAGATGATTGAGAAAAGAGACGTGTTCATAATGATTCCATAAATAGCTTCATCTTAGTGGAGGAGGGAAGAAAGAAGTATATCCTTTCATCAGAACAACAACCAACATTTCCGTACAAAAGCCAACAGCTGGTGTTAATAAAATAAAATAAAGAGAGTTCCATTGTAAATGCCACAAAGACATGACTAATCGCATGTACTTCTTATTCGTTGGTCACCGAAGCTTCTGGTCCGTGATAGTGTATCATCTTTTTTTTTTTTGTCGCGAATGAAAGAGCCTCTTTGTTTGATTAGCAATAGATAACAGTCCAAATAGTAGCACTGTTCACTGCGATTGCACGTCAGTGAATGGACAAGTGGAAGACTCTCAGTTGTGCTAACTTTATTACAAACCGAACAAAGTCACACCTGCATGAACCACAGAACAATGACTGATCGACCTCATCACGTGACTCCACTGACCCGGACCCATTCTTGACGACTTCTGCGTCCCTCAAGCAGACCTTTGCCAACTTCATCTCTATCTTCAATTAACCAAAACCTCGCTCCATTGCTGATTCGTGCGACGTCGCAACATCAACAGATCACCCCACATCTAGCGACTCGACGTCTGCGCTCTTTGCTACGTTGCGACCAGGATTTAGCTCACGCGACGCGATTTATTTTACTCTACCTGTTCCAAAAGACGCGTCCCTGACTGAAAGCTTCGCCTCCGACCCTACTTCACGGCGAATTCTTCCGCCACCAAAACTCACCTCAATCTCACCACATAAACTACTCATTCCCCCGACCACGACTGCGCACTCATCCATCATGCCCGTCGAAGTCAGCCTCAACACGCCCTTGGCTGAGGCTCTTAATGCCGCCATCCAGCCTAAACTCGTCGAGGTTGGATGGGGAACTGGCGGTGCCGATGACTCCGCCCTAGCAGAGTATATTATACTCATGCTTGTGAACGGAAAGTCGCAGGACGAAATCGCTGCCGAACTCTCGGGAGATCTACTTGGCCTTGGCTCTGACGATCCCAGCACTCGCAACTTCTCTCAGTGGCTCTTTGAACAGATCGATGCTCTAAATGCCCAGGTTAACGGTGGGGGCAACGCAGCGCCTGGTACAAGTCAAGACGCAATAACAGAAGGCGATGTGGATACAGACATGAATGCTGGTGATGTGTCAGAATTGAATGCGTATGCCAACCCCATCATATTACCCCGTATCACCAAATCACTGACTTCTACAAGACCTACCGGCCCACGCTCAATGCGAAACGGCAACCAGCGCGGGGGACGTGATAAGCGCATGTTCGGACAGATGAACAAAGCCATGGACCGAGCTGGCGATTCTGCACTTCACCGTGTTAGAGGCCAAACAGGAAGCGAACGTATCAACACTCATGGCCGTACACCGCCAAATGGGCCTAGAACAGGCCGGGGTGGAATGGGACGACACAACAACCGCACTGCTAACCTTCAGGCTGGTCTCGCTAACATGGCTGCTGGTGGTCCTCAGGCGCAGTGGATGATGCAAGGTGGTCAACCCAACTCTGCCGAGTTCGCCGCTATTCTGGAACAACAGAGCCAGATGATGCTTCAAATGCAACAAATCATGTCCAATGGTGGATTCCAAGGTGGATATGGACAGCAACGCCGTGGAGGAAAGTCTCTATTCGACCGTACGCAACACCCCGGCAGAGGTAACTACCGCAAGGGTTTCAACGACCGACAAAGCGGCAATAATGCTGGTGTCGAGGGTGAGGGCGAGGATGTCGACATGTCCGGCGAGAAGCGCGAGCAACTGAACCCGGACGAGACGGTTTGCAAGTACAACTTGAGATGTACCAACAAGGACTGCAAGTTTGCTCACCAGTCACCCGCCGCTCCCCCTGGAACATCGGTTGATGTAAACGATAACTGCAGTTTCGGAGCTGCATGCAAGAACCGAAAATGCGTCGCGCGACATCCTTCACCAGCGGCCCGTCTAGCCCACCAGAGCGAACAAGACTGCAAGTTCTTCCCCAACTGCCAAAATCCTCAGTGCCCTTTCAAGCACCCATCAATGCCCCTCTGTCGAAACGGCGCTGGCTGCACAAATGCCGACTGCAAATTCACTCACGTCAAGACCAAGTGCAGGTTCAACCCTTGCCTCAACCCGAACTGCGCTTTTGCGCACGAGGAAGGCCAGCAAGGTGGCTTTAAGGACAAGGTCTGGACCGCTGGCGAAAGCACAGAGCACCCAAGTGAGAGAAAGTTTGTAGACGACCAAGCTTCCGAAGAGCTCATCAAGGGGGAGGAGACCGAGGTCAAGCAGGAGACTGATGTCATTGGTTAAATGACAATGAGAGGAGGAAAAGGGAGATAGATTGATCGAAAAGAGATCACGATACCCATGGTCAAAGTCCCTAGAGGCCGAGGGACGGCAAATATGCGGCCTTGATGAACAGAAAAGCTGTGAACGAAGGACATGTACTTTTACGGTTGCTTTGTAATGTCTATGGCCGATGTGGCAGAGCATGGAAGGGCGTTTGGGGGTTTGGTATTATTTGGTTGTATTTTGAAGCAGCCCAAGCCATCTTGTTTAGTATCATATACATAGAGGCCAAGAAGCAAAAAAAAGGCCAGCAGATTGCGCATCATGATGCCTCAAAGCGGTATGCGCGATGGGGAGAATGAAAACGACAGGTTTCATGGCTACAATGATTGTTCCCAACCATTTGTGATATTGTAATCTCATGATTCGCTAAAGAAGACTTTGCATATGAATTCAAACGTCTAAAAATTACCTGCCTTGCAGTATAGGATTGGTAGTCCTTTCTCCGCGGTGTTGATGACGCACACGGAAGAATGCCGGCTCATGGCGCGGGACCCTTGGTTCAACACTCCACCATCTTTCGATCTTCCTCTTCCTCGTAACATATACTCATACATACTCAGCACCTCGGCCATGGTCAATTGATCTCTAGCAATGAGTCGCCGTCGAGCAGAATCTACGGCTGTAGCTCTCCTGAGCTCACCAGCGAAATCTCACCTCCAACTGCCCCTCCGACGTCTTGATGGCATCCGCAGCCTCAGCACAAGCTCGGCACTGACTCGGCGACGACCCATTGTCGCATGCAATTACACACAGTCCTTCAACAATGGACGGACATTTGTTTCGCAGGCGAAGGACGCGAATATTGCAGTCTTGGGAGGTGGATTGACGGGTCTCACGGCGGCATACTACCTCGCAAAGAAACTCCCCTCGACGGCCAAGATTACATTATACGAATCGAGCGATAGATTGGGAGGATGGATCAAGACAGATAGAGTACCGGTCGATATTGAGGGGAAGAGCGGTACCGTGTCTTTTGAGCGCGGTGCTCGGTCGTTGTCTTCTCTAGTTGGCAACACATTTCGCTTCGATGACCTTGTTCTCTACGATCTGGTGAGGACATTTGCTGCAGCACCAAAAGGGCGCCCCGTTAACATGCCACACTCTAGGCTCTCGATCTTGGACTCGTTATCAACTCCCCTAGTCAAAAGCCACGATATATCTACTACCCAGACCATCTCGTTCCCATGCCCCCCAATGTTAGCCTCTTCGATATCTTCCGTGAGCCGCTCTACCTTGAGAGCATCGGTGCCAGTCTCGGACTCGGTATCAACTCTTTGCGCAAGAGATATCTCCCTTCCAAGGATTACTCTGTATCTGAATGGCTCTACGCCGTGAGCAACAGCCGAAAGGGCGCAGGTACCTTGGCTTCAGCCATGATGCATGGTATATATGGCGGTGATATCGACAAGCTGAGCGCTCGCTGTGTTTTAGATCGCGTGTATTGGGGCTGGTACCTGCCAAACCCCGGCCTGTCGGCGCGCCCTATGCCTGTGGCTGAGCAGACTCTCCTCGAAACTCTGGGCCAGGACAAGCAGATTCAGAAGATGGCACTGGAGCCAAGGAGTGTGCTGGTGGACTTTGGCGACAAGGGCATGGAGTCGCTGCCGCAGGCTCTATCTGCTGCCCTACGGGAGCAACCGAATGTCACTATAAAAACTGGCGAGGCCGTGCAGGATGTCGTTTATAATAAAGCTAACCAGCAAGTTCATGTAAGATATCTTCCCCTTATGGCCTGGTCGATGTCACTAACAGCGTATGTCAGATTACCAGTTCCAACGCCAAGAACAAGTCCAAGCACAACTCCAAGGTATACGATAAGGTCATCTCAACGCTATCTGCACAAGATATTGCTCGTCTCGCAGGAGACAAACTCCCTTCGCTCTCAACAGCACACTCCGTCTCTGTCATGACTGTCAACATCTGGTTCCCTCAAGAAAATCTTAAGCCTCCTGGTTTCGGTTATCTTATCCCCAACTCCGTGGCCCCTGAGCTTAACCCTGAGCACGCTCTCGGTGTCTTCTTTGATTCTGACGTTCAGACTCGCTCCAAGGATGAGCCTGCTGGTACCAAGCTCTTCGTCCTCATGGGCGGCCACTACTACGATCGTCCTGATGTCACCCCCCCTACTGAGGAAGAGGCCATTTCCCAAGCTCGCAATCTGCTCGAGCGTCATCTCGGCATCCCGCGCGATGTTCCAGCTTATGCCACAGCCAATTTTGCTAGAGAGTGCATCCCTCAGCACTACGTTGGCCACCAGGATCGCCTGCGCGCTGCGCACACCGAGTTAACACAGAACTTTGGCGGGCGTCTTGCTGTCGCTGGTGGTTCCTTCACTCGTATTGGTGCTGTTGCCAGCCTGCGCGCTGGCTATGATGCTGCCGCCGCGGCGAAGGAGGGCCTTGAAGCTACGGGCCTGGAGTATCTTAACGACATTCAGCAATTTGCTGTCGTTGCGACTTCACAGATCCCTGTACGGCATTTTAAGTAGCGGGGAGTAATGCATGTATATACTTTGGTGATGGAACGACACCAGAGGTGTTTTAGAACGGAAGTTTGAATGCCTATTGGGACAAAAAGCTGTATTATTACTTGAGGGGCCATAGAAAGACGTAGGTTACTTATTGCAGCTAGATGCAACAGCAAGTCAAATCCTTTACAATTTTGTCTGATCAGCGGTTTTGTTGGCCTGAACCGTAATCAATATAGTGGTATTCCGTGTTCATATAGAGGTATCATTAAACTATCACAAAAACACTCATCCGCTTTGTTTAAACCCCCCCATTTCGCCGCTCGTCTAATGATGATAATAAAAAAAAAAAAGAAGCCCCTCCAACTCCATGGTTGATGGAAATTAAGCTCGTCGTAATATGTCCAGGGTGTTTGTTTTACTCCAAGATGACCACCTCCGAGTTGTTTTGGAAAGTCGAGCCAGCCAGTGGCCGGATAGCTTCGTCGATGGCTAGAAGAAGACCGACGATGCCATTCTCTGATCGGCCTGTTGCTCCAGTGACAAGACCGCTCCAATCATCCCCCTTCCCATCCCAAACGGGCTTCAGTGCTGCAGAGAATTCATCGTTTAAAGGCCAGCCGCTGGAGGGAATCTTCCGCTCGATATGCCACCATGGCTCGCCTCGACGCTGCTTGATTTGGCCGAGGAATGTGATGCTGCGCTGGACCTGTTGGTTTCCAAGGCCAGTCCCGGCAAGGAGGTACTGAAATGACATCTCATCCGTTGAATTCATTATAAACTTGAATCGTCCCTGACGACGGGCTTCGATATCTGACCATGCCTCCCTGATCTTCTTGAAAGCTTCCATGGTTGGCAGGGACACGGGGAGCCAGTCCATAAGAGCCCCAATACCATTAGCACCATTGACAAGCTTTTGCATCAAATCAGTGACTGGAAGATGAGGATTAGTCTCCTGCACCTGGATGTCAATATCATTGTTGGAGAGATTCAGTGCCACTCTCCAGAGACGCGAAACCTCAGCGTCCTCAACCGTCTGTGATGCTGGAGGTCCATAAGAGAAAGTCACCTCCTTCAAACTCACTGACTCGGCCTTGATAAAGCCCCTCGCCTTATCCAATGATTCAAAGAAGCTGACAAACCGATCCACGGCTTTGACCCGAGCCTTCAGGTTCTCCAAGATAGATAGTCCGATATTTGAACGCATTCGTAAGCAAAATTCGCCCGTTCGCGCTTTCCAAGAGACATCACGACCAACCATGTGGCCCTTGAGCATGGCGAACTTCGTAGGTTTGCGGACCTTGATGATAGCATCGGAAATGCACATGAAAGAAACATCTGAGATGGGGCCACCTGCACCAGAGGCTTCTTTGTCTACAGGCTCAACCCCCTTGAACCTGATTGAGACAATATCGTGCGCCCATGGTTGCCTGGTTGAAATGCCCGGTGTGGAAGCAGTTGGCGCAACTGGTCCAAGCCTAGCAGTCTCTGTACCAGCGTTGGACTCATTTGCAGCCTTTGCATTATCCTTCTCTGCCATGTTAAAGACCATGGATGGGAAGATGTCTGAGAGAGAGATTTCGAGGGTCGGGAGTCGGACCTGCTGGGGAAGAGACCAGTTTCTTGTGTCTTGCAGTAGGAACTTGATGTTGTGCCGATAAAGCTCGTGTTGGTCCACTGCCTGAGCAATCATACCAGTCGCGAACAGGGTTAGGTTGTTCCAGAACTCATCTTCAAGATGAGGATAGCCCTTATTGAGAGGAAGCTTCGATGACAAGCGATTCGACTGTCCATTTGCATTTCGGCTGCTATCAAACATGTTAGTGCATTGCAAACACAACTATTGCTACTGTATCCCAACTTACACATCAACAAGCCACCAAGCATCCCCGCTCGGACTCAGCATAGCCATAACAAACCAGTTTGGGTCCCAGCCAGTTCTCTGAAGCCAAATAGTTTTGGTCCATTCGCGGGTATTGGTCAAAGATCTCAACTCGTCCTTGCTCAGAGGACTCTTCTTGGTATTCCAACCTGTCGTGCTTCCGCGGCGAATAAGCTCATCTTCCATGACTCCACATCTCACATTCTCCAAGCATGTTGCGCCGTCATCTGCCGGATTCTTTCCGTTATTTAATAAATGCTCATGTTGAATAGTGAACTTCGAATGAGGCTTCACAGCGAAAACGCCGGTTGTTGGCTCCACAAGCAAGGATGCGCTGTCTTTGTAACCGACCTGCATACTTAAAAATGAAGTCGCGGGATCATCGTGAGAGATGTTCAAAATCATAGCAGCATCTCGATTTTGGAAACGAGGGAAGGCCTGCAATCTGCTGTGTATGCTGCCCAAAAGGAATTCAACATGACGGCCAATAACCGTCTTCAGAAGGGTCTCGGCTGATAAATTGTCGGTATCGAAAGAGATATTCGCGTCCTTCACCTCCTTGTTGTCTCGATACCATTTCGCCATCAAGTGACTTGACGACTTGGGGTCAGATTGGCCATTTGGCTTCCGACCGCTGTTGACGGCGATTAAGATCCAACTCTTCGGACTACCAAGCTGTGCGCGCGAAGTCCAATATTGAATTGCCAGCGCTCGATTGAGTGGCTCGACCTTGAGTGTTCCCGTCCATGAGCCTCTGCTAAGTTGAATCGCTTGTCTCTTGAGCTCGTTGAGCTTATGTGTGAGGACCAGTTCGTGTAGGAATTGATAACAGCCTAACAGTCCGTCTTTGCTGAGGATGTCATTTACCTGCCCCTCTAGATAATTCTTCAGACCGTCAGGAATCGAGGATGCTGCTGGCTCAAAAGCGAACCGGAAGTCGATGAACCAAAACTGTTTCTCGAAATCTTCGTCTGCGATTGTGAGATCAACCTCGAATTCTCCCGCAACTTTAAAGGTTACTCGGCCGGAATCGATTTCGTAGTTTCTGAAGTGATATGGGATCTTGTCGAAATCTTCGAGGTTAAGTCGCAATGATAGTTGAGTATCGAGATCGCTGATCCATTGAATTTGTTCCTGTCGTGTTAGGGGGGGTGGCTCGATATAGGAGAGCTAGTAGCAAAGTCAGCTTGATCGTCGTCGTCTCGCGATGCGCAAAACCTACATCAGGCATCCAAGCGGCCTCTCCAGTTGACAATACCTGGAGGGCTGTTTTCAGGTCAGGACTTGGCATTCTCGCAAATGTTAAATCCCTTTTGACGTGACCCATAACATCCAGGGCTCCGGAGAACAAGACCTCTTGCCCTTGGAGGTGAAATCTCAGGTCAATAAGCTTGCTAACCATGTCGGCCTTTCGACTCCATTCCGTAATAACAAGCGCTTTGACCCATTTCCGATGCTCTCTCATAGCAAAGTTCAGTATCGATGTCTTCTTGGCGATATTTTCGCCAGATCCGTCTTCAACGTCGCTGTTCAGTACCGTCGAGTTCCCATTCATGGCGGCAGCAGGCAAAGGCATCTTTGCCAGTGCGGCAATCTGATCTTGGAGCGCATTGTGTGTCGATTGCGCGAGTCGCGTGAGAACCTTGGAGAGTGGTATATAGCCCTGAGTGATGTGGACTATTTCGCCGGCAGGATCGCTCATCCTGGAGGAGTAGGTGGTTGGTTGTAGTTGTTGATATCAGGGCGAGGTTGATGGCGAGAAGTCTTCAGAGGCGCTGGGGTAACGAATGAAGACCTGCCAGGTCATGTGAGAAGGTGCGCGCACGAATCATACATAAGGTTATAGAGTTTGGCGCCCTAAATTCTATTTTTTTCGTCAAGGATCGTCTGTGTACGAGGTGTTGTTTCGTTGGCTGAATCGTCTGTTCACTTTTGGAGGAGTCTTGATTGCTGCTTCATTTGGCCGAGCGCTCGACACGCCTAGTCATGTGATAGGCCAGGCACAAGTCAGCACAAAGACTTTGGGGGCAAAGTAAAAGTTGCATAATCTGTTATGCACGGATTCATTAAATTTACCATCATCAGTAGGAAAATAAGGAGCGTTTCTATAGCAAGGTAGATTTTGTGCTTAGTTTATTTGGCACATACAGTATGTCTTTTCTTATCTTGAAAACACATTGATGATGAGACATACGTCGATATTGATGCGCCTCCGTAATATCCATGATGTCTTTATGCAAGCCTACCGTGTCTTTCAACCCTTTGACCGTTTAACATCTGTGGCGTCCACTGCCCAAAACCACAGCCTATTGAAGTATTGGTAAGGCAGGGCACAAAGAGCCTTGGTATCATGGCTATGAAGTCATTTCTATCCAAACTGGGAATGATCAATTCAAGGTTGAAATTGAAATTTTCATTTGATTGAGCGAGTCGTAAGCAATGAGCCAATCCCCCAATGTGAACGCATCTAAAAAGTTCCCAGAAGCAAGTGCCCATCATTATGTCGCAAAAGTTACGACAACAGTTTCCATCGTTTTTTTATATAGAGTAAATCATTGATTGGTGTTTTGTTGCCTCGTCAGGCTTGGATATCATAGTCCGAAATCGGTCGTGACTCTCTCATTGTACGGGAGGCGTTATTAGCTACAAGAATTAGCAAACCGGTTCTGTAATTCGTCGCACCCAGACTAGCCTACAGGATGCAAGTTATTAAACTTACAACTTGTTAGGAGCAGCAGCATTGGTTGTTGGCCACTGGTAGCCAGCAGCGTCGCTGAACTTGTAACCGTAGGAGGAGGTGAAGTCGTCCAGAACAGCAGGACCACGAGAACCTATTAACAACGTAAGTAAAACTCAGCATGCCTCGTACTAGAAACATACCGTAAGGGTACTCCATGGGAATAATCTCCTTGTTGTCATCAAGGTAGTGGAGGAGAGGGGTGAAGATGCGCCAGCTGGCGTCGAGCTCGTCGTCACGGACAAAGTTGGACTGGTCGCCCTTCAAGCAGTCAAGGACAAGCGACTCGTATGCCTCAGGGATTTTGAGGTCGGAGAATCGTCGTCGATAGGTGAGATCCAGCTCGGTAACAACAGTTTGCATGCTGAGACCAGGCAGCTTAGAGTTCATCTTGATATAGACACTCTCATTGGGCTGAATGCGCATAACAAGCTCGTTTCGGGGAATGTCCTTAAAGATACCCGATGTGACGTCCTTGAACTGGATTCGAATCTCGGTCTTCTGCTCATTGAGAGCCTTTCCGGCCTTCATAATGAAAGGTACGCCATCCCAGCGCTCGTTCTTGATGTAAGCAACGAGTGCACAGAAAGTAGGGCATCTCGAGTCCTTGGGGACAGTGTCGTCCTCACGGTAGGCGGGCTTACTACCGTCAAGAGACTTACCGTACTGACCAATGATGACGTTCTTGGGCTCAATGGCTGGAATGGCACGGAGAACGCGAACCTTCTCATCGCGGATATCCTCGGCGTTGAAAGAGATGGGCCTCTCCATAGCCAAGAGAGTAAGGACCTGGAGGAGATGGTTCTGCATGACATCACGAACGATACCGAACTCGTCAAAGTAGCCCCCGCGACCCTCGGTACCAAAGGGCTCCTTGAAGGTGATCTGGACGTTGTCGATGTGGTGTCGGTTCCACGTGGCGCCGAGGAAAGAGTTGCCAAATCTAAGAATCAGAATGTTCTTGACCATCTCCTTGCCCAGGTAGTGGTCAATTCGGAACAGTTCCTGCTCGTTCCAATCAGGCTCGAGTGACTTTTGAAGCTCTCGGGAGCTGGCAAGGTCCTTGCCGAAGGGCTTCTCGACCTGCGGGGATGGTTAGCCCAACCTTTATCATGATGAGGGTATTTTCACACACAATCACACGCGCGACACCGTTCTTGGGGTAGCAAATCTTCTTCAGGTGCTGTGAAACAATGGTGAAGACACTGGGGGGCAGCGCCATGTAGAAAAGACGGTGGTTCTCGGGGCGGCCCTGCTCAACCTCCTGGAGGTGCTGCTCCAAACCCTGGAAAGACTCATCCTTGTCGTACTGACCCGAGACGTAGGTGCAAAGCCCGGCGAACTCCTCGAGTTGCTGCTCAGTCTCCTTTGTGGGTGTCTTTATGTATGACTTGATGCGTCGAATGTATTCATCGTGGTCCATCTTGGTGCGGGCATATCCGACAATCTTGACATCCTTGGGCAGGAACTGGTTTCGATACTGAGGACATGTTAGTCGAGAGAAGAGCGCTTTGTCGGCTGGACTAGTCACTTACAAGACCGAAAAGCGCAGGGTACTATCATGCAGCAAAATCAAATATGTTAGCACAAGCACATTGGTATGTGAGGGGCAGTTGGGGGAGCTCCCCACCGTCTTCTTTTTCGCCAGATCACCAGAAGCGCCGAGCACGACGATTGTCGTGTTCTGCTTGAGCTCCATGCATCTAGAAGAGAAATCGTATCAGTAAAGAAGTTTTTCCATTTGTGGTGTTCAGACATTGAGGCGTGAGGAGACGCGATCGTATCGCAAAACGCTCAGCGCGAGCATGATAGCTCGCAGCTAGAGCGCAAAGTCATGGTGGGGGGTTTGGAAGTTGATGTTGAGGGAGCACCTACGGATCCATTGTTGAGGTTCAAGTATGGACTGGGGAATGAGGATAAGCTGTACAAGACAAACGGGAGAGTGGAGGAAGTATGAGAGAGATCTGGAAAATGGAAATGGAAACGGAAAAGGTAACGAGGTTTTGGGGCCTGGCCAGGAAGGTTTTATGACGACGGGAGCGTCCAATGCCCGCCGCAGACCTGAGCACAGCAGCTGGGGGAGCTAAGGTAACAATCCAAATCCATCCACCTTCATCAATAGGTGGGATCCCTGCGTGAGCGATGGGGCTATGATGCAGTCGGGTCCCTAAAATCCGAAGTGAAAGTCCCTAAAAAAGAGTGGGTGGATAAAAAAGTGTAGGTCCGTCCACTGAGTGAGTTACTTGACATGGAGGTATTCACCTCACAAGGTCTTGACTGGATCCGGTAATCAGGAAGCCATGGTGATGAACTTTGAATTGGTTATAGTCATGAATGTGTACTATTAGGCGATGTCCTTGCGAGGGCATCAGTCAGACGCATAAGGTCGGTAGCTGTCTGTTTGTCTCGCGTAGCACAGATGTACCAGCGGCGATTCTATCTCCGGGCTCATCACAAACTATTCGCTTCTATTTTGCCTAAATTTTGCCTACCTATTTACACTTATGGAGTCCTTTTAAACTGACACTGAATCCATCCATTCTTCTCTCCCGGGCCAATTGCTTCAGGCGCAAGCGGTCGAATCGTTTCCGTGCTTTCGGGGCCATGCTACGCAACTCAATGTCTGACTGGATCTGTCGCGGACTTGACGTATGGTGTTTCCACACGCTTCAACCCAGCAACCTCTCTGTGTTTATTTGTCTCAGCAGTACGTTACCAATATTCATAAGTATCAGCTCTTTCCTCCCCTCTCATGTCATTTTGTGATTCATGACCAGGCCCGCATCAACACAATGGCAACCGTTGATAGGACACCCAGACTTGTCCATTGCACAGTTTGATTTGTGCCGTGAGCATGACGAAGCATGATGCTTCTCCAACTAAACAATCCGACTTCTTTGTCAGCTTCTCCGGCATGCCCGGGCATCGATCCCTCACCGAGTCCTGTCCGTCCTGGCTTCGGCGGCGGTGGCGGTCCCTGGATTGCCTAACCAGCGAGCCGCCTAGCCCAGCGCAATTCTACCTATTCTGCCGCTCCCCCAACAGGCACACACCAAGGCCCACCGAGCCTACGTACAATCTGATTATCAAGACATTGGGGTGTCGGTGTTGTTCCCGTCTTTCACACACGGAGCGTCGTCCGTTACACGATGCCACTGCCGATTCCGGAAAGTGTAATAAGCATACTCATGTTGCTAATATTGATGTACATAGATCAGTAACGCTCACTAATAAAAGATGACGCTCAGATAGAGAAACCCCCAACTGAATCTCGTAATCTGGCGGCAAGCACGTAGACCAGAATCCGGCCTCACGGCGCAACCGCGGTGTCTCAGGATCTTCTCCATAGTTGTTAGCGATGGAAGTCTGTGACATGCAGCGCTTCGACTTGCCAGACAGGTCCACTGCAGACCCCTGGTCCCAGATATGTATCACCTCGACTGAGCAACTCCCAAGGTCTGCAAGCACCGAGAAACAATCTAGTCGATAAACTCCGATCATCAGATAGCCGGCTAAGAATCCGAATCTGTTTTCTTGCACTCCTGCCCGTGACGGGCCAATGTATTGATGAATCGCTTACTCGGTAATTATATAAGGTGTTCACAATAAATTATAGACCAAAGGCAATGTGGTCCAAGAGCGTAGTATCGCAACAGGTAGTCATTGGATAGCCGTTAGCATGCCAATGACATTACTTCCTCCTCTTCACTTAACTTTAACATAAAATAAAAAAGAACTCACATGTACAAAATGGTGAGCTCCGTCAATATCTTTGATGAGCTCATCTTGACCTGGCTTGCTCGGACACCAAATTCCGAACCACTTCGGTGCCAGGATCCACGAGCGCCTGCTCGGCCCCTCTCTCCCCGGTGTCGGCTTTAACTAAACCCCAAACCTTCACCAAGAAATCATTGGGGCGGAAAAGGTGAGTGCAGGAATGATTCCATGCAACTGCTAATCAAGAAGTCCGGTTAATCGAAGGTAGTCAGCTGTCCTGAGGGAATTTATGGCATGGTACTTGAAATATATTCTATCCAGCCACGAGAGTCAACGTTGTTGAGTTTCTCGTGTCAACGTGCCACTTGAGAGAGTTGGAGAGAGCTTCAGATGTTGGTTGACGTCCAGGCTTACCCAGGCTCAAGCTGGACCAGCATTGCCACTAGGTACCTCTACGCTCATAGGTATGGACAATTTACACAAGAATGATAATGAGAATATTGGCACCACTTTCACCGGTTAAGGCATTGTAGAACGAAGTGTCTTCAAGACACAATTGATTCAGATTCATGTTCGTCATCCAGGATCAGCCCAGGATGTTTTCTTCCTGGGTTGGTGGTTTAAACTAAGGTATCTGCTAAAAACAGTAGATCAAAATCGTGAATGCACTAGCCACAACAGCCACTTCTTGTCCGCCGCAAGTGGTATAGCACGTGATTTCTAGGGTTGACCAGGAAAGTGCGATTGGCGCACCCTCCCCACTCCACAGATCAATCACCAAACACGCACCTCACCAACGCGAAGGTCTTTCGTTCAAACAATCAGCTATCTACTAACCGCAGGTTGTTTGAGAGGACGGAAGTCATACCACAGCCAAGATGCCTTCAGAAGCCGGTCACCGACGTGAGTTTATCCCGCCCGCCAGAGAAGCGACGAGCGCACCGACTGGGCTCGACTCGCAAATTTGGAAATCTAAATATCGATGAATTCGTTGCTAACTTTGCCTCTAGTATACGTCAAGTGAGTAAAGCCTCCTGTCAGCCAGCCTGTCACGCATGCGATATGAGAAGGATGTACTTGCCTAGACAAGTGCGCACTCTTCAGATTTTCGATATCGATATTCCGCGAAGCCACGGCACGAACACAACGAGCGACAGAATTTTGGACTGACGATATTGGTTTAGGGGACGTCACCTGAGCTACCAGCGCTCTCGTCACACCACCCGCCCTGCTACCAGCCTGATCAAGATTGAGGGTGTTGATGACACCAACGCCGCCAAGTACGTCAACATGAGAGGAATGTTCCCAGTCGGTCTGGATACTGACATTCGTGATAGCTTCTATCTCGGCAAGAAGGTTGCTTTCGTCTACCGGGGCCAGAAGGAGATCCGCGGCACCAAGATCCGCGTGATCTGGGGCAAGGTCACTCGACCACACGGTAATTAATACTCGACCCGGTGAACGACGACATGAACAATCATCTAACGTATCTCTGCAGGAAACTCCGGCGTCGTCCGCGCCAAGTTCACCTCCCCCCTTCCCACCAAGTCTTTCGGTGCTTCCGTTCGTGTCATGTTGTACCCTTCGTCGATATAAAAAAAGGGCTTCGGGCTGGAGTTGGTAGTGAGGGCGGTTCTCATTTGGCTGCATTGGTCGAGGCAAGGATAAAACATATTGCCTTGCTTTGAGGCATTGAATTCAAAAAAGACGTCAAATCCCAACCCCCGAAAAGGCTCTGCACACCTGAGCACCTTCGTCTTGATGATATAACTTCATTCCCCTTTCATGAAACGGTTGGCGGAACTCGACCTCGCCCAGGGCAGTCCACTGGGAGGGGCTTCAGCGATGGAATACTTTTTGGTGGTTGGGATTCGGGACCGGTGTTCGGCTACGGTCGTGAATAGGGTACAAGCGAATCATTGATGAATGCCAGGTCCAGGGCCTCTATTACGGCAGTACACAGCGTTCCTGAAAGCTGGATTGTGATTTGACTCGTGCGGGGAAGTTTTGAGCCATGGTCGGCGTCTTATGATGAATCGGAAACTGCTTTTGAAACAACACTTCACAACAACCTCAAATGGCTCAACTCGTTCCCCGTCTAACGGCTACGCAGACTCGGATACCTGCGTCGGGTTGCCTCGATGCGTTCTATGTAATGTGATACGCTGCCATATTGTTCGTAATATGCCATAACTCTATGAACGCATTCCACTTGCCTGCTGCTTCCACCCACCTAATGATCCTGGCCATATTGTGTATCTACTCGAACCAGCAGAGACTCATGATCCAGATGCTTCCGCCAGATGTGGCTCGGCCAATGTACTAAAGATAAACTCAAGGACACAACTCGCTACTGTCACAGCTTCGGTCATGCTCAAGCGAGGTATATCACCATTGATAGATAATCACAACAATACAATAGGTGAGAAGCGTTGGACATGCTGTAGAGGGGAGTGACAGGCGGATACAAATCTGACATCCTTGGTCAACGATGTTCAGTTGAATATTCTATGTTCAAGACTCGTACTCATATCATCCAGCAACATGTAGCGAACCTCGCTTGTAAACAAGGAGAGCGGTTCGACCAGTCTTCTCGTAGAGTCTGCATGGGGAACTTGTAGGCTCTAGGAGAACCAGGCGTAGGAAAACTGTTTATAGCATCGCGAAGCTGAACATTTGGCAACATCATCGTGAGTATGGTTTGTCATTCAGGTAACTAAGGTATAAATCAAATGTTCGGGAAGAGGAAAGGGGTTTTTCTATCATGATATCAACCCAAGTATCAATATCAAGGGCCTGGTGCAGCAGTTTCACAGCATAGGATAACACATATACGAAATGCAATAGCTGTGATATCAATATTGACCATTCATTCGCCGCGGTAATATCCCATCAGGGCAGATCCAATTATCTTCCACTTAGAGATGCATTGGCGTCTAGGATATTGGCGGCGGTCGGATCAACCTGTGTAAGTTTAAGCCCTACACTGCTCACATTATGAAGGTTCTCGGGAGTCAAGTTGCCAGGGCGAAACCGTTGCCGTTGAAACGGGACGGGCTGGATAGAGAGCACCCGTGGTTAATGGAAAATATTCCGACTGTATGGAGGCTGTCAAGGGGTCATACAACTACCGCTACTGTTTCCTCCACGGACGGCGTATTTTTGCCGTTCCAACCTCGAAGAGGATGGTTGTCGTTAGGCCGGCCAGCAAGATCAAAATCGTATGCATGATAACTGCAGCTTGAGTCACTCGGGCATACTATCTGGAGGTCTGGAGGCGAGCCAAGCAAAGCCAGAACCGAACTCAGTATCATCAAGTAGCAAGAGGGATCGTTTGGCCTGTGTGGTTAACGGCGCATTATGCATTGCGTTGGGGCCCAGCCGGAAAAGCCGGCCAACCATAGGAATTGTGTATGGCCAATACAGGTATTTTGAGTTCAAGGCATTGTGTTCAACGACGAATGTCTCGGAACAAAGAACCAAGGTTCAAATCCCGTCCCTCCTTGATAGCAAGTGTGTTTCACTGGGCGGAGATGGGGGCTTGGGGGGATAAACAGGGCAGAGCAGAGTAGAATCGCGTCTATGTTCCAATATCAGCTCTACTATCGTCAGCTCCTGAGATCTATCCGCGACCTACAGTAGGACCGCTATCATCCACAACCTATGAGAAGCCGCCGCTCTATTTTAGCCTAGACGAAAACTCAACATCGATCGTCTCGACTTTTTTTTTTGTTTTAGCGCCTATTTTGCAGACCATATCTTTAAACTTGTCCCATTTGGTAGAAACACTAATTCCATGTCACAGGATGGGCAATTCGACAAGAGCAAAATGCCATACATTTGCAGTCCAGATCCTCGCCTCCAGGCCTCCCTCATCTATCGACTGGGGTGTCATACCCTAGGGGTTGGAGTGATTAAGAGTCCGGCAAGCTGACTTAGCAAACCAACCAGATAGCAAATCTATCAACTCATGGAGGGCAGGTAGGGTCTGTCGTCTTTGTAGCCAAGCAACTACACGAGCTTGGGTCTTGTGCCTTATTCGCTGGGGCTTTGCATAGAGACTGACAGCAAGTTTTTCACAGAAATGGCGTTTGTGCAGCGTCCAAGCCGAGTTGGACAAAGGGCCGATCAAAAGGAAGCATCGAGATTCGAAATGGGAACCCTAAATGTGGCTGAGCTTGCACCCGACATAATAAGTATTGGTACCGCACCGTACCATATCATGATGGATCCATGTTGAAGAGACAACGCCGGAGATGGTGTGTGGGAGCCACTAACACGAGATAAAACAGGGGCGAGACAACCATCGACAAAGTCAAGATGACCTGGGAATTGCTGAGAGAGGCCTATAATAGGCGGTGATTCGTTACTAGGGCTCCATTCTCAACCTAATCCAGCTCCCCAGCCTCCCCTGCCTTTCAAGAGCCTGTGCTGTCGACCGACCGACCACCTTTTTCTACCTACCTCTAGTGCTGCATTGCATCGCACCACAGGCTACAGCTCAACTCAGTTCAGCTCACACAGCATGGGACAAAAATGCATCTGATCAGGTATTCATGCGCAAACACGGAGCCTCAGAAGTCAAGACGTGGCATGGCATCAATAGCGCCATCCAGATGCCCGTCATGGTTCTTGGCTTTAGTCGGTCGAGACCAACTTTCTGCAAATATAATGGACTACTAATGTTAGAATGTGTACTGCGTACAGAGTGGGATATCTGACGGGATGGTACCGCCCATTGTCCATTGGAGGAGCCATTGAGTTTAATGGCTTAGCCTTCGGCTTACGACGATTACAGTGAAAACCATAAAAGTCAACATTATCAGCTACACAGGGTGGTAACTGAATTATTAGCCTCGAATGAGAATTCAAGGTACCGAACTTTGGTGCAAGCAGTTGCAACTCTGCAGCTATCATTCTCCCCCATTGGGCCACAAAGCTCCTGTATCCTCGTAAATGGTAAGCAACAGATGCAGATGCAGATGTACTGTATGTAGAGAGCCCGTCTGCATGTCGTGGCTGTCACTGCAGTAGCCGGGGAGGAAGGGGAAACGACGCGTCATGACCTGGTAATCTGGTGTGTCTCGATACTCTCCGAGTATGGCCTAGGGAAGGCCTCTACGTAGTTTCCCCTCATTCTTCCTAAAAAGCTTCCTCAGTTTTCATCAAGCAAAGATCTCGCATTCTGACTCTCGCTTCCTCTGCCTGCTCTTTGTTTGTCTTTCGTTTACTGGTTTTGTGCTGAAGCTATCATCGACTCAAACCCATCTACAGTGGCAGATTGCTATTCAATAACCTATCAAGAACCTACCTAGACATCTCACCTGCGCATTCACGAGTAATTAATCAACGAGCAGGATCCCACTAATAGATCAACGCTTCCTCCTACGACTTCTACTACACATCGGCCATCCCCAGGTTTCCAACAAACTGCATCTGGCTTCGCGATATTAGCTCGATATCCAATCGAATCCCCAGACTGGCTTATACAACAACCTTCGAAATCTCCAACTCCGTTCCGTCACCTTTTTAGTGACTCGACAACACGCGAGGCCCACTATCGGCTGGACCCCTGTCCACCAAAAACGAGCACTATTGAGAGTCTCAGCAGCAAGCCACTCCGGACGATTCTTCCGATCAGTTTCAACGTGGCACGGCTCAATTCCCCTGAACTTCACGCCAGCCGACACTAGAAATTTCTAATTAATAGTGACGTCAAGACAGTAAAGGTAATCGCCCAGGCCCAACGCAAGCACTTACGAAGCACTGGACTTGTTCGAAGATCCCTTCTCCGACGGATACCCCAACAAAGTGATAAAAAAAGATCAATCAAAGACGAAAGGGGATAAGCCCTCAGGCACTGCCAAAGAAACAACAAGCAGACCAAAAAAGCGGCAGTCACTTTACGAAGATCAGCCCCCAGCACGCCGATCCCACATCATTATCACGCAGCCACAGGCATTAGCATCAAAACGCACCCGGCGCCGCTTTAGCTCGCTTTTGAACACGGCCTGATAAAGAAAACAGCGATTCGCTTTCCCACATCCCGGTCAAATTTATTGTACTGTTTCGCGGCCAGTGACAAGGGCAAGAACTCGGTGCCTCTCTATACAACGCATCGTTCTTTTGTGCTGTTGTCCAGTTGTTCAAAATTAAAGTACCAGTCCAGGCCAAGACCACAGCGCCAACGAATGATCACATCGTCCCGCGTACGAAGTCAGAGACCTGCAGCCACCGGCGACACATCTCACTTCTCACCTCACTTTGGCGTGCAGAGTACGGTATCATCGCCTTGTCTCCTTAGCCACTCGTTCTTTATAAATCCTGTTGTACCTGGCTCTTCTCTTGCAGTACAGGCGCCCGCCCACGAGCCATCCCCACCCCTTCCTTTCTACTGGGATCTTTTCTGATACGATACGTACCCCCAAACTCCGACGCAACCGGGCCACACTATTGCTCGGAAGCCCCAGCCTCTCATCACAGCCTTCTACGCCAGCGACTCTTAATAAATCTCCACTCCCAATATATTCATCCCAGGATCCACGACAATTGCTGCTCTTCCTTGCTAGTAGCCGTTTGGTCTGGTTTCGGTCTTTTCTCCCCGACCGCGTTGCTCCTTGCAATCTCCAGTTTCTTATCCACAATCCCCATCGCATCGGTCGATTGCCTGCAACTCTCCACCCGCCTTATCACGCTGAGACTCTAATCGCCAAGAGCCAGGGCCTTTCTGAGATCCATTGCGGCCAAGCACCACATCAAATAAAACAGTCGTCCCCCCAAGCGCCGCGACCATGGCTACCTCCACTGAACAGTATCGCCAATATCCGCCGCCGCCGTCGAATTATCCGGCGCAGGATCATCAACAGCAGCAATATCAACAGACTGCCCCGGTCTCGCCGCGCAAAGGTTCGCAGAATCCGCCTGCCCACAACCGAACGTTCAGCTTTCATTCTCAAAAGTCGCATAAGAGCTCTGGTAGCAAGGACTTGCAAGAAACCCACGCCGAGAAGGAAGCGAAGCGTTTACATAGCAAAGCGGATCCCACGTTAGCCATAAGCGAAGCAGAGCCATGTATGTCAGGACATCTCCTGAGTCTACAACAGGAAGTTCAGGTCACCTACTAACACCACAACAGCTGCCATCGCTGCCATGATGACCGAGTCGAGTTTCGCCCCTCTGCGGTCCATGCAACACAAAGATGCCTTCGGAAACTCTATCGGTGCGTAGGTTCGCTAGCATGCACAACATGACACCACTGACAACTCATATAGCGGATCCCGACAAATCGAACCCGACTCGAAACAGATGGGAGCGCCCATTAGACACTATCCGTAGTTTCGAGGCCGCAATCGATGGTGGTTACTCACGCAAGTCTCTCTACCGAGCGGGTAAGTTAGATGTCTAGCATCAGATACAGTCAACTTATTAACACCGCACAGAAACGGATTCACAGGCCAACTGGAACAGGCGGAATAGTTCTTATAACAGTCAGCCTCGCTTCCCTCGCGACAACTACTACAACAACCGCCCCGTTTCCTTTAGACCGGAGAATCAATTTGAGAATGGGTCTACCCGAAGCAACTACTTTGATGGGCAGGCTTATAGCAATGGCTTTGGCACTGGCCCATCTCGGCAACGGATGTCTAGAATGCAGTCTGAGCCACAGTACCAGAGCGGCCACGATCAGAATATCTATCCTCTCCCCCACAAGGACCGATCATACGAGACGGTGACTTCTGCTGCGGGTAGTGGCAATTCGGATCACGCAGGCTATCAGACAGACCCTACGAGCAGCGACAACAGCTCAATTGATCGGACGATGCCGGCTAAGCGCCGCGAGCCCTTGAATGAGCATGCGTCCGGCTCATATCAGCCTCAGCATCCATACCAGTCACGCCCTTGGCCAGCATCTGGTTCTGGTGTGAACAATGAGGGACAACCTCAAGTACTACCACCTTCGCATTCGCAGCCTCCTACGACACAGGCTCAGGCCTCAATTCCACCGCAGAAACAGAAGAATACCCTTTTGAGGAGGACATCAACTCAACAGTCGGCACACCAACCTCAGCAAGCAGCTAACGGGGACAAGCGCAAGAGTTGGTTTTCTCGTAGGTTCAGCAAAAACTCTTGAAGAGCCAGCGGTTCAGTAATGACTGTCAACGTTTGAAACGAACACGAAACAAACCTTATTATGCAACTACTTTCCTTTGTCGATACCCGTTTTCTTTGATATTCGACGTCGAATGGCACGATCGAACAGGACTTGAAGCGCCTGTACTATTCGACGGATTTTGCGATGGCCCCCAGGAGTATGCTGCCATGCCTCGTGCTTCGTCCCTCTTATAGGGCAGAGCGGCAGATACTGTTTAACTTGGGTCAAATTGGTTTACAGTTGTGACGATACGGTTTATTTTTTCCCCCATGGGATAAGGCGAAGCACTTGAGTTTTATTACGGAATGGTACATTAGCAAACGGAACTGTACGAGGCATTGGCAGGGGTGGCCTTGTGTAGCCAACCCTTTTGGGGGTATCCTTGAGGAGCAGGGCAGAGGATGGATCTACCACCACGATCATCATTAATTATACTCACACTTGAGACGTACATAGCATATACACGTGGCTGTAGAGGTCATCCAGACATGATGGTCCGCCCAAACTAGCGAGGCATGGTCATGAAGATGACCCGAGAAAATAATTGAGACGGTTGCCCCTGAGACTCTTCTTTTGCCGGATAGAAATTTATGAAAGAGTGAATCAACTTTATATATGACGCTGTGTCTACTTGTCCTTCTTGCTCTCTGGCTTTTGTTTGTCCGACTGATCCTCTTTCATAGCTACAATAATGTATCCCACAAGGACGACATTGGCCAAGACAGCAGCCAAGCCACCAGCCAGAGAAGAGTTTCCTGTTTGTGATTAGTCTCGATGATGACACGTCGGGGTAAAAAGATATACCACGAAAGACGGTATTAACAGTGAGGAAATAGGAACCAATGGGGACCACAATCATGGCAAAAGTGAATGCTAGAAGCTTGTAGATAACTTGGCTGTCAAAATTGTCAGTTTAGATCGATGCGATCGATGTAGTGTACAAGATGCGATAGGTGGCAATAATGGCGGTTTGAATAAGGTAGATGAATAGAAAACTTACCTGGGAACGGCAGGAGCAGTACTAGAACTCTCATCAATGGGATCATCCTTATCAAGGAAGGTCTTTTCAGTAGCAACAATGCGTCGAGTGGCCATTTTGAAAGTGTACAAGAGGCGGCTGAGGCTCGGTATCGTCTTGTGTGCTGTAGTCGAGTTGAGGATACTCAATTGAGCTGTGAAGGTTAGAGGTGGGTCCCCACTTGCACGTGCGACTAGGTGAGCTTGAGGATAAGAAGCACTTAGCACGAGATGATCAACGCGCGCCATCAGATAGAAAGTGTGAAACTTTTTGTTCTCACAATGAGTGAAGGTCGATAAAGAAAACCAGTATTCGTCTAACTGCCAACTCAATCAGACTATCTTTGTTTTTCTTCCCTTACTAATTCAATTGACTTCTTACGACCTTTCTTTCATTTTATGCATCAAACACTGACGCGAAGCTGAAATCTCACGTGACTTCGTGATGCAGTTGATGCGGGTCGCGTTAACGATTTGAGGGCACTTTAAAAAAATATCCACCTTCACTCGCTCACTTCACGCCCCTCCAGGATTTGGATTGGGATCCCCTTGGCACTCGCAAGCACCACCATCTCTCACTCTCCGACTTTAACCCATTTTTTCTTGATTTCTTCTCCTTTTCTACTAAGCATTCTCCTTAATGACACCGGTCTGCCACTTTCATCCAGTGCTCTGTTTTCTGTTGGCCGAACGATAAGAAGGGCAGAAAATAACAGACCAAACGCTCAATCCGTTCATTTGCAGTGACAGCCCCCGCCCTGGACGATCCAAAGTACTGCTAGCCTCGATTTTTACTCCTATTGTTTCGTATGCCCGTAATAATTCACCTACAATTATAATGGCACGAAGCTCTTCACCCTTGCCAATCCGGCATTCAAACGCTCTACCTCGCACCCCATCGCTCGCTCGCAATACAATAACCATTGACGATGCCGATGAAATAACGGATACCATTCCCTGCTCTCCATCTGCCTTTTTTCGAGGCCGAGATACTACAACACAACCAACACAAGTCCTTCAGAAACCCGGACTTGCACCAATGCGAAGCTCCTCTCCTGCAAGCAGCATTGTGGAAGTTCCTGCATCATCACCCTTCCAACAACCTAAAAAGCCTACACCTCTTGGTAACACTCTTGGTAGCAGAGTTGCCCCTCTCGGCACCTTTTTTCGTCCTCCACAACGGCCTCCTCCTGCAATGACCAACAAGCGACCGGCTGTTGAGCCTATCAATCTCATCTCTGACGATGAGGACGACCTCACACCTCCCCGTGGCGATATTCGACCGACAACGTTTAAGGCACAGATTTCGGCATTCGCGTACAATCCAGAATCAGAGAGCTCGGAAAAGGCCATCAAGACCAAACTCCGACAGATTTATGATGTTTACGGAGACAGAGTGCCCTCGCACAAGGCCAAGGAGGCTTTGAGTGCATGCAAAAACGATCTTGCAGAAGCAATAGATTATCTCGAACGACAAATGCGTCAGTCCAAACAGCCGGCGCCCAACCCTAAACCTGGCAGACGTCTGATTAGCAAGGCGGCTCTCCAATCATCAGCAGCAGCGAGCCGGGCCAGCTCGCGCTCACGCACAGCATCCCTCAGCCCTGAAAAGAAACCCCGACGGCGACTAGTACAAGGTCTCCGAAAGTCCTCGGTCCCTTCGTCTCCAGCATTCCCCTCGTCTCCCCCCGCCCATGCCTCAAGCGACGATCCGCTAATTATTGACCTTGTCGATGATGGGCAGGAGGATACGTATCAGGCGGAGGCATCGCCAGAGCCTTCAGACGATGAGGATGATCGGGTGCTGACTTGTCTCAACACAAGCACTGTTCAAGAACTAGCTGCCATGACAGGCATGAAAGAAGAGCAACTTGCTTGTATGATCGAGAAGCGACCTTTTGATGACATCTCGAAGGCTAGGCGTGTCACCGTCGGTAAAAAGCCTGGCGCCCGAAAGGCTTCCAAAGTCAGCATTGGAGAGAACGTTGTGGAGGCTGTCGAGATCTTTATTGATGCAGTTGCCGCAATCGACAATGTTGTTGGCAAGTGTGACCGCGATGCAAAAGATATCAGGCAGCAGCTTGATACCTGGGATATCGATACATTCGGACATAGTAAGCGAGAGCGAAGCCAAAACTCAGACGATCTGCCTCCAACCCCTACAAGCATCAGCGCGCCCAGATACGTGCGCCCGCCTATTGCCCAACAGCCCAAGTACATGGATGGGCATTGCCGGATGAAACCTTTCCAGCTTGTAGGCCTGAATTGGATGTCCCTCCTCTACAAGTTTAACATCGGCTGTATCCTTGCCGATGAGATGGGGCTGGGCAAGACTTGTCAAGTCATTTCACTCATGTGCCACCTTGTTCAGGATTATGAGGAGGGCAAAGATGGAAAACGAACCCGGCCTTGGCCCAATCTCATTGTCGTTCCCCCAAGTACCTACAACAACTGGCTAGGAGAATTTGAGAAATTTGCTCCAGGCCTCTCGGTGATCGGATACCGAGGCTCTCAGGCAGAGCGAGCTGAGATCGCGTCTGAGATCGAACATGATCCCGAAGCCTTCCACGTCGTGCTTGCAACATACTCACAAATTAACAACGACGCGGATATTGAGGCTATGCAGTCTATTGGACTGCACACTGCCATTTTTGACGAAGGCCACAAGATGAAAAACCCTGAGACTAAGATATACAAAGATCTTCGCCGTATTCCGGCATCATGGAAAATGCTCCTCACAGGTTTGTTACCTCTGGTCTTCTCAATGGGCGCTTTTGCTAATGTTGTATAGGAACTCCTGTTCAGAACAATTTGTTGGAGATGACCTCACTCCTCAACTTCATAAACCCCGATATTTTCAACGGTTGTATGCAACACATTCAGTACATCTTTAGCCAAAAGGTCACTATCAGAGACGTTTCAAACGGTGCTTTTCTGTACAGTGAGCGTGTTAAGCGAGCCAGAACTATCTTGGAGCCGTTCATTCTTCAGCGTCGGAAAGACCAAGTTTTGTCAGATATGCCTCCCAAGATCTGCAATGTCGTCCGCTGCGACATGGACGAGAACCAGAAACAAGTGTATGCCGAGTACGAAGAGATGTTCAAGCTTGAGCCGTCCAAGCGCGTCACAAAAGTCCGTGGCCGTGGAAATGACCAGAACAATTGCTGGATGCAGCTTCGCAAGGCAGCACTTCACCCGCTCCTTTTCAGGCGCCATTTTGATGACAAGAAGGTTGAGAAGATGGCTCGAATCCTGATGGATAGCGTTTCTCAGGATGACCTCCGTCAACCCGACATAAAGCATCTAATCCAAGAACTCAAGGACTCTTCAGATTTTGGACTTCACCTCTGGTGTCGTGACTACCCAGGCCTTCTCGGAAGGTTCGACATCCCTCCAGAGACTGAGATGGACAGCGGAAAGGTGAAGAAACTTCTCGAGCTCATCAACCAGTATCAGGAGAACGGTGACCGAGTCCTTGTATTCAGCAAGTTTTCTCGCGTCATTGAGCTGCTGCAGGAAGTGCTCGCTCAGCTGAATATTCAGCATCGAGTCTTGATGGGGAGCACCCATGTTGTGGAGAGACAGACGCTGATTGACGAGTTCAATGACGACCCTGATATTCCAGTGTTCTTGCTCACAACCGGAGCAGGTGGCACAGGTATCAACCTCACGGCTGCCAACAAAGTCATCATCTTTGACCAATCGGATAACCCTCAAGATGACATCCAGGCCGAGAACAGAGCCCATCGCCTTGGTCAGAAGCGTGACGTCGAAATCATTCGACTTATCGCTTCCAATACTATCGAGGAGCTCATCTACAAAGCTTGTCAGAAGAAAATCGAGCTCGCAAACAAGGTCACTGGTGCAGTGACTGACGAAGATCCCGGTGTGACAGAGCAGACCCTCGAGACAGAGGTCCGCAAGATGCTCATGGAGGAACAAATGACGCCTCCTTAGGAAGGGGGAATGTTCTCCTGAGCAATTGTCCAAGAGCCCGCACCTTTCCCTACACATTCATATTTTGTGTCACATTTTTCTCCACGATCTACCTCTACTGTAAGAACTTCATTCTCTGCGCTGCATAGCAGAGCGGCTTTTGTATCAACCTCGTTGGCTTTGCGTTGCATTTTACGGTTTGCTTGAACGGTTCATGCCCTATCTTCCTCCCAGCATCACAGCCCCATAATGATGGCGGTTTCGTGTCTCGAAGCACAGTGGTTCTTTTTTTTTTTTTTTTTTTTTTGTCTTCTTTTTTTCAGCGCTATAGAGGGTTTGTACGGTTTGCTCATAATACTTTTACGAACGTCATGGCATGGCAGGAAGCAAGGGGTGTACAAGACGGATTGCTACGTATTCTAGAAGCTCATGGTATTGCTAAGGTATTACCATGATTACACATAAGGCTATAGATATAAATCATCAGAGCATAACGGATGCTCCAGGAGATCAAATGAAATTCATATCACATAAAACTACACTTTCATTGCATTGGGTAGATTGATTAGTCTGGTATCATTAAACAGACTCTAATGAAAGGGGAATATCTAATTTCAATTCCACATCAACAATAAACAACCTTTATGGCGTTACCCAGCAACAGTGGTAACCCCCCGTCCCGGCCCGTCGCCGCCCGTCCCATCCCCAGGCCCAGGCCCACGCTAAAGGCGAGAGATCGAACAACGGAAGAAGGATGGAAGGCGAGAATGAACAGACCCCGAAGTCACCTACCCAATGTGCAATAAAATCCGCACACTCGACGCCGTGATACGTCCAACGACTACTTATATACGTACCTTGGTTAGAAGAAATACAGAGACTCGACTAAACTAGTAGGTAAGGTATAATGATGTATTTCGTTTGTTTTTTTTTTTGTAAACTTATGGAAATTCTTCCACGCTTGCCACCAGTTATCAATTAACCCCATCTGCTGGTTACGTGTGTATTTGTTTCCCAACAAACCACCAAACTGTCTGACTCGACAATGACGTCCAAGCTCGGAATTTAACTCTGACTTCGTGGTGTGAAACGTACAAACGGACTTACGATGATGAAAATTGGGACAAGTACCTTCATGTATATTGATGCCCGATTCGATGGTCTGTTCGTGATTTCCGGAGAGACCGTGCGCCTGGTCCATGAGGAATGCGGGATGGGCGATAGGCGACGCACGATGTACCATGGAGGGATAAAC